CGAGAAAGGAAGCCCGGGCCCCGCCCCTGCCGCCGCCGCTTCCGATCCGGCGTTGGCGGCGTCACCGGGTCTGGCGGCTGCGGTGACAAACGGGATGTGAGGGTGGCAGGGGAGGAGGGAGCCCCATTTCGGCAGCACCGACCCCTCGGATTTCGGGAGAAAACTCACCCGAAGCGGCACCGGAACTCGGCGCGGCGTTTTCGGCGCTGTTGGGCGGTTGAACGCCGGGAACCGGTGGGAAGGGACCAACCGGTGGCCAGAAGGGAAACATTCCAGGAGGGAAGGGGGGAAGGATTCCCTGGGGAACTGCGGAGGGAGAAGAGGGCGGTGAGAGCCCCGAACGCCCAGATTTCCTTCACCGCAGCCAACCGGAACGTGCCACGTCACCAGTTTGGTGCCGCATAACCGTGCCGGCAACGTTTCCCTGAACGCACGCCGTCACAGGCGGAAATACCACCGGCTCGCGCCGCCGCCTGTGGGGACTTGACCTCCCAACCCTCTTCTCCAGCTGTTTGTTCCCCCAGCGCCGTGGACAACAACCCCGCAAAGCTCAACCGGCGCGGTGCTGGGTAACCGGCGGTTGGTGACACCCGTCCCGCCGCGGAGGGGTGATATCGGGGTGCAAAGACGACTCACAGTTGGGGGGCTGAGGAACTTGGGGGGACTGGGGCGGGGGCGGGGCTTTCCATGCGGCAGGTGGGACACGTCTGCTGGCGCTGGAACCACGACCGCAGGCAGCTGCGAAGGAGACGGACGCCGTTAATCGCACGGCAACGCCACGGCGGGGGACAAAGACCTTCCCGAAACACCCCACCACCACCGAAAGCGGCTGTTATTTCACCACCGCCTCACCGAGAACACCGAAACCGCCGACATTGAGGGGACGGGGAGCGGGCGCCTCACCCACCTGGTGTGGAAGATGTGGTTGCAAGGCAAACGCTTGGCGCCCGTCACCATCTCCTCGCGGCAGATGATGCAGACGTTGTCCATGGCCTGCAGCTCTTCCGGCGTGGCGTCGGGGTAGCTGCGCGGGGAGGAGAATGAGGCGGAAAACGCCGGGGAAAAAAGAACCCTTCCCGCCATTTTGGGGGGGGGTCCAAGGGGGATATGGGAAGGTAGCGGGGCTTCTGGGTCCTCCCCGCTGCCGGCCGACCCTTCCTCCTCGCCGTTATCCACCAGATTTTTGGTTAAATTAAGGTATTCGGCAGGAGGAGCTTGACCCCGTCACCCTACAGCGTCCTTCCCACCCCTTTCCCATGTGGCAAATGAGGCGTTTTCCTCAAATTTGGGTTTTTTTTTAGGTGGGTCCCACCTCAAAATCAACCAGCAAGGAGACGCCAACGGAGCTCAAAGCGCCCGGGAAGGGGCGGAAGCCGCGTTCTCCGCGTTACTCACAGCGTGTTCATGTTGCGGATGGCCCGGCGGGACATGATGGCGTCCGTCACCGCTTTCTTAAACTGCCTGGAAGATAGGGAACCGGTGGGATGAAACCGACAGCGTGCCGGCAGCCGTGCCGGCGTCGGAGGCCGCGGCAAAGTCAACTCACCTCATCGCCAGGTACATGGGGCGGATGGCGAAGAGCGGGAAGGTGTGGACTTTGATCATGATGGTCATGAAGGCCATGTAGAGGAGGACTTTGATGAAGCCTGGAGGAAACAAGAAGATCAGGGTCTTGTTCTTGGACAACCCCAGGTTGGTTGAGGTGGGATGGGACCTCCAAGGTCATCTGGTCCCGTCTTGGATGACCACAGGTTGGTTGAGGTGGAACGGGACCTCCAAGGTCATCTGGTCTCTTGTTCTTGGACAACCCCAGGTTGGTTGAGGTGGGATGGGACCTCCAAGGTCATCTAGTCCCATCTTCTTGGATGAACATGGGTTGGTTGAGGTTGAACGGAACCTCCAAGGTCATCTGGTCTCTTGTTCTTGGACAACCACAGGTTGGTTGAGGCGGAACGGGACCTCCAAGGTCATCTGGTCCCATCTCGGATGACCACAGGTTGGTTGAGGTGGGATGGGACCTCCGAGGTCATCTGGTCCAACCATCTTCTCAAGGAGGTCACCAAGAGCTGCTCATCCAAGACCACGACCCAACGGCTTTTGAGTATCTCCAAGGATGGAGATGCCACCACCGCTCTGAGCAACCAGTCCCAGCTCTCTCAGCCTCTCCAGTCCCTTCCATTGGCTTGGTGGCCCTTTGTTGGACATTCTCCAGTATGTCCCAGTCTCTCTTGGACTGAGGAGCCCCAGAAGTGGACTCAGGTCTCCAGGTGTGGCCTCACCACCCCCGATCCACCTCCCTCAACCTGCTGACAACCCTCCCAGGACACCGTTGGCCTTCAGTTGTTGGCTTGTGCTCAACGTGGTGTCCACCAGAACCCCCAGTTGAACCACTGCCCAGCGTATACTCATGCTGGGGCTTGTTGGACTCGGCCCATCCCTTCGTTGAACCTCGTGAGGTTCTTGGACCATTTCTCCAGCTGGAAAATGGTCCCTCTGGACAGGGGCATGACCCTGCGGTCCATCAGCCAACTCCTCCCGGACTTCACCTCTTCGTTGATCGACGGCTAATTGAGCTTCATAACGATGTGTCGAGATTTATCGGGCCACGCCCAGATGGGAAAGCCCCCCCCCCAACCCCCAAAATTGGGTGGGATGAGAAGAAAAAAGGGGGGGGAAAGAGGACAACGTACCCGTGAAGAGCTCCGTGTACAGCATGTAGACGGCTTTGCTGTCCCAAGGGTTCTCGTTCTGCAGGTCGATGGAGTGCAGGACGTACTTGATGAAGATGGTGAGCACCATGGTCATGAGGATGGCGTACTGCAGGGAGGAAGAGCGCGGTAGGGCGTGAGGACGCGGCCGAGGAGCCGTTTGTCCGTCCCCGGGACGGATGCGGAGGTTTGTCCGTCCCCAAGGGGAAGCCATCTCCTACCTCGAAGCCGAAGACGAGCTGGACGGAGGCTCCTCGCGTGAGGATGCTGTGGTAGGCGTGGTTAACGAAGAGGAAGTCCAGGATTCCCAGGAGGAACATCAGGGCTGCGGCGGGGGAAAGAAAATCGGGATGAGGGGATAACGAGGAAAGGAGATAACGAGCCTCGAGGTGGGGGGAGACCCCCAAAAACTAAAGCTCCAAGGGTCACACCCCAAAACGTAGCCCGCCAGAAGAGCAGGACCCTCGAGGAGCATCGGTCCCGGGGTGGGGCTAAAGGGCTCTGCGCTAATGAAGGGCTGAATTAACGCATCCTGGTAACGAGGCTGTCTCGTTTGAAGCCCCCTCTGCTTCGAGCCGCGTCTTGTGTCCTCCTGTCTCACCAAAAAACCCCTAATTCCTTCAAAAGACGATTTTTACATCCCTAAATCCCCTTTCCCCGAAGCAAGAATGTATTTTGCCGTGGTTTTCTTCCCACCCGGCAAAGCCAGAGCTCGTTAAACCCCCAGCAACCCCATCCCGCTCCCTCTGCGGCCCCATTAACGCTCCCTCCTTAACGAGGCTGCCCTGATAAGCTTTATCGAGCACCGATGGTCGCACGCTCGGCTGCAGCAGGTTCTTCCCCGGACGTATGCAAACGCGTTGCCAAAATTATCTTTCCTGACCAGCTGCCGGCAACGAGCCAAATGGCAAAGCGCCCGCGGCCGGGCAGGATCCGGCCCAGGGTGGAGAAAAGCAAGATACTCACAGACGATACGGAAGTGGAAGAGCCAGGAGATGTTGGGGCTCCTTTCCATCTGCAAAAGAGGGGGGCAAAAAAGGTTGAGGTTTTTCCCAAAAAAGGCTTTTTTTACGCCCGTTTTCCCACCACTCGGCACTCACAAAGTCCACCCGGTCTTCAGCCAACCAGTGGAAGCACTTGAGGAAGAGGAGGAGGGTGAAGAGGGCGACGAAGCGGGGGCTGAAGTCGTCCCTGAAGACGGTGAAGGCCAGGCAGGTCTCGGTCACGGCGTACCACGACCGCTCGAGCAGGTGCTGGGGCAGAGGAGGAGGCGGTGAGGGGCGGGGGCGGCTTCCCCCCAGCCTTCGCCCCCCGGTTTTGAACCTAAAACGGTGCCCAAGGCCTCTCGGGGTTCAAAATCCCCCCAAAAATGGTGCCCAGGGCCTCTCGGGGTCCAAAATCCTCCCCCAAATGGTGCTGAAGGCCTCTGGAGATCCAAAATCCCCCCAAAATGGCACCCAAGGCCTCTTGGGGTTCAAAATCCTGCCTAAAAACGGCACCAAAGGCGTCTCAGGGTTCAAGATCCCCCCCCCAAAATGGTGCCCGAGACCTCTCAGTATTCAAAATCCCCCCCCAAAATGGCAACAAAGGCTTCTTGGGGTTCAAAATCCCCCCCAAAATGGTACCCAGGGCCTCTCGGGGGTCCAAAATCCACCCAAAAATGGTGCCCAAGGTCTCTCAGGGCTCAAATCCACCCAAAATGGCACCAAAGGCCTCTCAGGGTCCCAAAATCCCCCCAAAATGGTGCCCGAGACATCTCCGTATTCAACCCCCCCTCCCCAAAATGGCATCAAAAGCCTCTCAGGGTTCAAAATCCCCCCCAAAACAGTGCCTAAGTCCTCTTGGGGTCCCAAATCCCCCCCAGATGACACCCAACGCCTCTCGGGATCCCAAATCCACCCAAAACAGCAACCAAGGCCTCTTGGGGTTCAAAATCCACCCCAAAAATGGCACCGACGACTGCTCAGTTTTCAAAATCCCCCCCAAAATGGTGCCCGAGACCTCTCAGGATTCAAAATCCTCCCCAAAATGGCACCAAAAGCCTCTTGGAGTTCAAAATCCCCCCTAAAAATGGCACCAAAAAGGCTGTTGGGGTCCAAAATCCCCCCAAAATGGTGCTGAAGGCCTTTCCAGGTCCAAAATCCCCCCCCAAAACGGCACCAAAGGCCTCTCGGGTTCCAAAATCCCCCCAAAACCCCTCAGTATCTGCACGTCCCTGTGGGCTTTAACCCCCCCACCAGCACCGATGCCGCCTCCAGCGCCGGCAACAGATTTGCCCATCCCCGGCACCGAATTTAAACCGTTCCCCACCGTCGCTCACCTCCATCTCCGCTGCTCGCAGCTGCCCGAAAAACACCTTGCCCATAAATTTACCCAGAAGAAAAACCAACACGAAGGCTTGGATGTAGAGAACCTGCGGGGGAAAAACGGGGAGAGGAAGGAGACGATGGAGGGGAAAAAGCCGCGGCGCAGCCAAAACCCGTTTTGGTCACAACCGGATGCAGGGGAGGGTTTGGTGCCGCGAATTTGGGTCCCAGGGGACGGAGGAGACGGCGATCGGGTACCGGCTCGGCCCCAACCCCGTTTTGGGGCTGCCTGAGGGCTCCTGCGCAGGCAGGAGGCGGCGGCGGCTTCCCACCCAGAAAACGACCCATTTCGGTCACCAAAAGCAGAAGTGAGCCGTGATGCTCAGCCACGAAGGTGTTGCACGAGCCAAGAGGCTCGTTCCCCAGCCATACAGGTTAATTACCCGCCGCTAATTAATTAACTGGGTACTTACGGCCATGCTGGGGCTGGATTTGGTGAGATAAACCACGGTGGGGTAGAATTGGTGCTTGAGGTAATAGGCGTGAGCCACCACCGCCGTCGTCAGCGCCAGGCTCCCCGCCATCACCACCGCCGTGTAGAGCATCTCCCCGGCTCGGCCTGCCAGATTCAAACCCATCAAATCGCACCAAAAAAAGGGATTTTTCATCCAAAAAAAACCACCATTTAGCGTAAAATTGGGGATTAAACGGCCGCCCTCGCATCTTCAGGGCGCTGCCAAAGCCCTTTTTGGGGTGATTTTGGAGTCCAACAGGAAAATAAGACCCTAAAACTAACGATGCCACTAAAGTTGATTTTTTTTTTTTTTAACCCGCTAACGATTCCTACGGGTAATGAAAAACGTGCGGCTTCAAACAGAGCTTTTCTGCCCCAAAAACGCTCCCAGCAGTGCCACCAGCTCGTGTCCTACATACTCGGCGTCACCGGCTCCCACGTCCCCAAACGCCACCTCCTTGTCCCCAACGCCACCTCCTTGTCCCTGTCCCCATCGCTCCCCACCTCCTCGTGCCCCCGCCCTCT